GCTCACTCTCTGGAAGTCTTGACTCGTGTTTTGCCTTTAGTTATTGATGTTCTAGTTCTTCGATAGAAACCTTTCTAACAATAATTCTGATTTTTTACATTGTATTTCGATGGCATGAAAAGTGTTGCCCAATTAAAAAAAACTGTGAAATTATGCCAATTGATACACAGCTTCGATTCTTGGATTCTCTTTCAGCAAGATAGTTTTTCTTTTTGTCACTACAGGCATTATAGATTCTCAGTGATCCTTAATGAAGATTATTCAAAATGTATTCTTCATTGAGACCTTGAAGAGGAATGCAATGCTGTGAAGCAGAAATATGATGTTAATGGGAAATATGCATGACCTGAAAAAAGCAGTTTCCTGAATTTTTATTTTTATTTTTCTAAGAATTTCTACCCCTTTCCATTTTCTTCATCATAAATGGATTGGTGTTAACTGGGAAGTCTTAAGAAGCAAGTTTGTTTTGCTTTTATCATATTCAAGTTTGCTTCTTGGAGTACTCATTTTGTCACTTTGTTATTTAGCTGCTGATGTTATAATGTGGAGATGGCGACACGTTTCATCTGGCATCATTATTGTTGCTACTGTTGCCTGGGTACTAATTGAGAGATCGGGTCTGTCATTCTTATCACTTTGTTCTGACATCTTGCTGAGTTTGATTGTCCTGCTGTTTCTCCAGGCCAATTATGCAGTTTTCAGAAAAAGGTAACAGATAATCTACATTCAATATGTTTTTTACTTTGAGTTTTCGTTGTTTACTTAGAAGTCATTTAAGATATCTCCTCTTCTCACAGACAGCTCCAAACACTGCCTGAACTAGTCCTATCAGAGGAAATGGTCAACAATGCTGCTGCATCATTTCGTGTCAAAGTTAATTATATGCTGCTTATGGCTCATGACATTACGCTTGGGAAAGACTTCAGACATTTCTTTCTGGTTAGTAATTGCTACCTTTATAAAGATCAAGGGAAATACAAGTTTTTTTTGGATAAATGAATTTCTATAGTATTCTTTCCTTTCCTCTTACCTTCTTTAGTTTCTAGAGTAGTGTTGATATATTACTTTAGTAAGTAAAGTAGTCATATGGAAATCAGAAATAAATAAAGGGAAGTCAAGACTTCGAATTCAGTTTAAATGCTTGAAATGCAGAGTTTGGTGTCAAAAAATGTGCTTGGAAGGAACAGGGAAAGGTATTCTTATAGATGATAAGTTTTAGGACAATAGCTAGATTTATGATCGTTTAGCCTTGCTCTGTAGGCTGAAGAAAATGTGAAAACCTATGAAATTTTATAAAAGACAGTCAACTTTTCGTCAGCGCATGGATTCACTACCAATTTGGTACGTGGTAGGCAATCCAAATTTAGGATCAATATATGCAGTCGTTAACTTGTTCACCAAGTTGGACTAAGATGCTGCGGGTTTGGTCCATCTATCACCTACTTTAACCTAGGTTTGTTTTGGGATATACTTCTACTGCTTGTAATAATGTTAGTGCTACCCCACCACTACTGTGGCTGTCTGATATGTGTACCTGAGCTGAGCTTTGTTGCCTTGAGTGTTTCTGCCAACTTCACCTCAGGAAACAACCCCTGATCCACACCAAGGATGAAATTAGAATCAGCGAACAGGATTAAGAAATGAGGATTGATTACCAATCTAACA